ATAATATATCCACTGTACAGTTGAATATATAATATATCCACTGTACAGATGAATATATAATATATCCACTGCACAGTTGAATAGATAATATATCCACTGTACAGTTGAATATATAATATATCCACTGTACAGTTGAATACATAATATATCGAACAGTACAGAAACTGTTTCCTTTAAATTGTATTTTATGGAGAAATCTCAGCGTATGAAAGAATATCATGTCACCATGAGTGTGTTCTGGGAGTACATAAATCAATGAATTTAAAGAGATAATTTTCGTAATTTGTGAAGTTTTCATGTAGTAGAGTTTGTTGGGAGAAATGAACTATTTTATTACTATTTTGTTGTTTACATTCATGCTTCCCTGCATGCAGGAAACTTGATAAGAGTTTCATGTCTCTATACTTTTCAGAAAATTAAAATATTCGATTTTTTACAGATTATTTACGGAGATCAACGAGTGAAAAATAGTGAATGAGGCGGGGTCATAATTCTGGTATAAAAACAAGTGATCTTAGCTTTCTAATTTGTCAACAACACTTGTAATAACTATGCTTTAACTTAATGTTACAGTGAAAATTCGATTTTCCCTGAATTTGCTATGTTTTTTTATGGAACAAGGAAAATATTCGTGACTAGCCTTAGAGGGCGCTTCGCGCCCATCTTCTAAATTAATTGTGAACATGTTCTCTTTGTGTACATCGTAAAACAAAACAAAAATAATTCGCGGATTTTCACAAAAAATTTCGTGGATCTTCAAAATTTTCAAAAATTTAATGAAGATCGAATTTTGATGGAGACAAATATTTGAAATTTATATCATTCATAAACCTTTTTACAATATTGGACACCAGGAAATGTAGCTTTTGAACTGTCTGAACAAAATATTGAAACTGAGGCAATGTGTTTCTGCAAAATTTATATTATTGAATTATATGATACATACTGGAATATTTTACAACATTTAATGTATGTATATCTTCATATGAATGCGAAAGAACAACAAACCAGTTCGATCAGAATATCTTAACTCAGGGCAAAGCAAAAAATTTATAGACCAGGAACCGTCATATCTGATGCGCCAAATCTGTGTACTGCAGTGGGAGGAGATCAAAACAAAGAATTCAAGGGCAGCGCATCATTTTTGAGGGAAAAGATCCCAAGGGGTTGAATAAGAATATAATGCTATTGTATTTTCCATATCTACCAGAAAGCCAAAAATCATAAGTATTCGCTCTAACTTGATATATTAACTTGTTTTTTGTTGGACTGTAATATCACATCAGAGCTTTAAGGTCCTTTCTCATCAACTTCTTTGGGGGCACTGGGTTTGTATACTTTCCTCCCACAGTGTATAAAAGTACACAATTTGCGTGGTAAACCTGAGTTTAGCGTTCCTGTATATAGTTCCTTGGGACAAAGAAGGTTTTAAATTGTTAGTCCGAGGGAACAGCTTTAGTAAAGAATTGTTCAGGCATAGCATATACAGTATACACTATACAGTATACAGAATTAAAACAAATTTTGAAAACTTTGAATGCTAATATCTTAATTTTTCAAGCAAAGATTATACCAAGCAACTTACTTAAAAAGGGGGATGGGGGTGCAAATTCGTAATTGCATCCCCCTTTTAGGAGAAAGGGGGGGGCATCTGACCCCTTGCCCCCCCCCCCCACCCAGTACGGGCCTGTTATATAATACCTCTCTATTCTATACATATTATATACTCTGCACTCACTGCAGTAGAACCACGTTTTAATTTTGTTAAATTGACTAGAACGAGAAAAGACACGTAAGATACATGTGTCACCCTAGACTAGATGGGTTTGGTTTCTTCAATTTGAATATAATTGCGTTTGATCTAAAATTCAACAAAATTTAAGTTACTGGTCGAGTTGTCTTTGACACTTTTTCATTGAAATCGTATCTGCCAATAAAAAAGTATAGGAGAGAAAAAGAAATATTTTAAGTTTAATATTGTCATTGGAGTTCACAGCTTATGCTGGGACCAAGACCATACTGTGGTGTACATAGAGTAGGAGGTGCAATCCCTCTTTTTAAATAAGAGTTAGACTGAATAGTACAGATTTCAATAGAATGGTCTCAACATGAATTATTAGAATAAAAAGGAAGAAAAATATTGAAATCTTAATAACTATAAAAAGCTACGTATATTATATATATATGTGTCAGGAGCATATACAGGGGGGGTGTATATGGGCTAAAAAGGTAAAAAATGTTGACCCCCCTCAACACAATCATGAATACGCCCCTATTATGTATGTGTACGTCTGTGATGATGTATTTATGTTACAACTTACATAAGATTTGAATGTCTACTGTGGACACTTTAGATTTTGGTTTTATCGGGGTTTTCCCCTCTTTTATGGATATCCAACTAATGAGAGTTTTCTCATTAAATGGCGATCAAAACTTCAAATTTAGTCTGATTTGCTGTTAGGTATTCTACATACAAATTCTCTGATTGGTTGAACTTTGAATTTGCTCAAACTTAATAAATACTAAAGTGGAACAGACTAAGGCAACGACGACAGGTTGGGCCAAAATGTTTTATTTGGTTTGGAAATAATTGCATGAAAAGATTTCTTTTGGAAAGTAAAGACTAGAAAAAATAGATTAAGGACCCATGTAAATGTCGTCTTCAGCTAGAAATTTAAAATTTTCATAATCAAAAATAAAAAATTTTCGTATGTTTGTTTGTGTTTTATATGCAAATACTATATAGTTGCTTAATAAATTCATTTTGCCTGACAGGCTTGCACTTCTAATTCTATAAGAATTTATCTTTAAAACTGCGTAGTATTGTTTTGCCCCCCCCCCCCTCCTAAAAGGAAAAAGAAATTTAAGTCCTTCCTGGGGAAATACCTGAATAAGCATCTCTTAATATCTTTAAAACTATGTCTTAGTTCTCAACCACTCTTAAATATGTCAAAATACAAAGTGAAGAACAAGAGATATATTTCGAAGATCTTTATTTTTCGGCATCACAAATTCTGCATTACTTGTTTTACAGATTATGCATGCAGGCATTATTGCGCTGTCTGAAATTATTTATTGTGCAGTAAAATGGCTAAAATTCACTTCTAAAATCTTAATTTAAGTTAATCCACATTTAAGTCTAAAAATTAACTAAAAATTGCGAATTTTTTTTTATTACATTTTTGCGAATTTTCTGCGATTCTGTGATTCAATCTTTATAAAATTTTAGATTTCGACAGAAATAATTTATGTATACATTTTTGCTTTTCTGAACTGAACTGAAAAGATGGAATATCTAATTTTAACAAAAAACACAAATTATATTTATTTTCAAATTAATGTCTAACAGAAATAGTAAACTATAATATATTTTAAACCTACAGTGGGGCCCATGTAAAGCTTTGAAAAAGGAAGACAAAATTTGATGTTATTATAAAGCAAAAAGTGATTTTAGCAACTTAAAAAAAATTATAAATTAATGGATGTGTTTCACACAGGGTGTCCCAAAAAGAATAAAACTGTAAAGACGACTTGAAATTATAAGATATGACGACTCCAAGTATAAATTAATAAGTCTTATGCCTTAAATATAGTCTATTATTGGATTATCAAATGATTTGGCAAAGGAAAAAAAAGTTTACAGTTGCAGAGAATCATGAATATAAGGAAACAGGCAGTATAAACTCTGTATAGTCGTCTCTGAAGTCTCATCCTTTGTGGGTCACTCTGTATGGTCATTCGAATATTTGAAATCATAACATGAGACCCACACTCGTTTTTTTATTGTTCAGTTTATCGTGAGAGAACGAAAAACATTTTTTGTAACTATTGTGTTATCATTCTTCCTCTCTTCCTCGTGAATTTCATAATGAGCGTGTTATAAAGTTTTGATTGGTTTCTGGATTTTCTCCAAAATATTTAGGATATTTCCAAACAATTTTTTTTCAGTTGAAACCATTTTTTTTTACTTCTGCTTTGTTTCAAAGCTTATTTGATCTATAAAAATAGTCATTGAAATAAGACAAGTACACACACTTTTCATAAAATTACCTATAACACTAAAGCTCGGGACAAAATTAAATCTAAAAAAGCTTGAACCTTTTACTGTAAGGATAAAGAGATGAATTAAGCAAGTAAGTAACAATTTCGTATAATACATTTTTAACAATTTTACAATATGTTTAACATCAGCTTTCGCTAGTAACAAGCAACAGGAAGAACGAAATCATAATCATCAGCGCACCTATAAGAAAAAATGTTTTTAAGCTTTTAAAGGTCAGAAATATTTGTTAAATATCGTGTTATCCTTTTTTCATTTTATATAAAAAATATTTCGATGCCTTGGTAATTTATGTCATTATCGACCTCCAAATCTTGGAAATATTTTAGAATGATTCAACGGTAAAAGAGTTTTCTTGATTATTTTTTGTACATGGCGTGTACATTACCTATAAACACAGCCATACATCTTGCCATATCATCCTGGAGATCTGCATGTTCCTCAGTACTGTCTTCATTTTCTATGTACTCCACCATCTAGAGAATACACTGTTAGAATTCTCTGTACACTAAACCATCTAGAGAATACACTGTTAGAATTCTTTGTACATCACACCATCTGGAGAATACACTGTTAAAATTCTCTATTTACTCAACCATCTAGAGAATACACTGTTAGAATTCTCTATATACTCAACCATCTAGAGAATACACTGTTAGAATTCTCTATATACTCGACCATCTAGAGAATACACTGTTAGAATTCTCTATATAATCAACCATCAAGAGAATACACTGTTAAAATTCTATATATACTCAACCATCTAGAGATTACACTGTTAGAATGCGCTATATACTCAACCATCAAGAGAATACACTGTTAGAATGCTCTATATACTCAACCATATAGAGAATACACTGTTAGAATTGGCTGAGACCGATTTATGTTCTAAGGTACTAAGATCGCTGAACCACTTAAATCCAGGCATAAGAGATAAGCGGCTTAACTTTATCTTCTTTAGTCCTAATTTATTAATTTTGTTTTGAGGAATTTCCTACCACTTTAATACCATTTAGTCACTTTTCTAAGAATACATTAATATTTCAGAGTAACAAATAAAGATTTATTTTTTGCAGTTCAAAGTCAACAAGTTAAAAGAAAACAGATTTTTAATTTTGGTTGCAAAAGCTGGTTAATTTTACCTGAGTAACTATTATCCATATTCCAAAGAAAATAAGACAGAAACAAAAAAGCTTTGTGTCTTCACTTTTAAACATCATAAATCCGCTGGTAACTAGAAAAAAAATATTCTAATTATATTTATTTATTTCCCTCCCTTCATTTTCTTCCTTTTCTTCATTTCTTTCCTTCATTTCATTCCCTTTCTTCCCTTCCTTCCCTTCCCTTTCTTCCCTTCCTTCCCTTCCCTTTCTTCCCTTCCTTCCCTTCCTTCTCTTCCTTCCTTTCCATACCTGATATAGTAAGGCCTATATTGAAAGCTAGAAGGATAACATGATCTTGAAACTCATCACCTAAAAATTTATTTTATTAATTATTTATTTAATTTTCATCTAATCAATCATTAAACCAATCATTCAATCGATCAATCTATCAAACAAATTACTCAATTAAGTATAGCGAATCAACAACTAAGCAATATATCAGTTAATTAGTCAATTATTTAACTAATCAACTGATGAATTAATCAATTAATCAACAATCAATCACTCAACTACTCAAGGAATCAATTAATTAGTCAATACATTTATTAACTAATTATTTAATCATTTGGAAAAAAGACAAATTAATAAATTAATCAATTTATCTAATAAGTAGATAATCAATCAACTTGTTATCCAATCAATCAATCAATTATTGCATTTCCCCTAACAGTTTTGAAATGTAGTATTAAGTAAACTGTTTTCGATAAGAACCTCTAATCTTTCCTTGATTGCATTTGTAAACGAATAATGCCTTGTGCAAAATGTACTTTCCGCAATATAAAACGTATTTAGGTACAGTTCTTAAACTTGAGTATTTTCTTTATTTTTAACATAAATTCACAATTTGTTTTCGTCAATAGAAAGAAAGATGAAAGATACTGCTTCGCTAAATGTTTAAAAATTTTCTTGGCTAGATGTTATTAAAAACGTACTTGGCTTAACGTAATCTAAAACTTATAAGTCAACGAAAAATTCTTAAATCTTTAAAAGACGACATCTGTATCCTATCTGTTATTTTAATTAATCTATGCTTATTTGGCTCAATTAAAAAATACTTGGTTCAATGTATAAAAAAATACTTGGCTCAATGTTATTAAATTTTACTTAGCTCGATTTAAGAATAAATACTAGGCAAAATGATAATATGAAATTACTTAGCTCCATGTTTTAAAAAAAAACTGCTTGGTCCAATGTTATTAAACACTTACTAGGCTCAATAATAGTAAAAACTTACTTGGCTCCCTATTAATAAAATATTTACTTGGCTCAATGTTTTTAAATATTGATAAAATTTTCTTGGCTCATTGTTATTACAAACGTACTTGGCTCATTGTTATTAAAATTTACTTGGTTCAATGTATTCTAAAATTTCCTTCAGGCTCAATATCGAAATTAATCTAAGTGGCTTAATGATATTAAACTTACTTGGCTCAATATTATAAAAAAATTTTCTTGGCTCTAATGATATTAAAAGCTTACTTGGCTCAAGTTATATTAAAGTCTTAATTGGCTCAATATTATTAAAAGCTTACTTGGCTCAAATTATATTAAAAGCTTACTTGGCTCAAGTTATATTAAAGTCTTAATTGGCTCAATATTATTAAAAGCTTACTTGGCTCAAATTACATTAAAAGCTTACTTGGCTCAAGTTATATTAAAAGCTTACTTGGCTCAATATTATTAAAAGATTACTTGGCTATAATGATATTAAAAGCTTACTTGGCTCAATATTATTGAAATATTCCATCGGAATTATGTTCAGCAACTCTGAGTCCTAAAAATATAAATAAAATTGTAAAAATAAACATAATAAAAGCAGAAATGAGCCTTTTTTAATAATATAAAATAGTAAAAAATAATTGAAAACTTTGCGGTTGAATGTTATTTGGAAAATTATATTTGTGGTAGAAAGTACTTAACAAACTTTTAAACTAAAACTAAAAAATTCTATTAGGACAATATTTTTACTTCAAAATGAGAACAAAGGAAAAAATAAAATAATAGTCACGAAACGCACAGAATTCTAACCTCAGTCTCCCTGTAGATAATTCCAGTGTAGGAGGTCGTCTTCTCCTTATAAAACTGAACCTGAACCTGAACCTGAACCTAGGTTCTAAACCTGAACCTACACCTGAACCTAAACCTAAACCTAATCCTGAAATTAAACCTGAACCTAAACCTGACCCTAAACCTGACCCTAAACCTGAACCTAAACCTGAACCTAAATCTGAACCTAAACCTGAACCTAAACCTGAACCTAAACCTGAACCTAAACCTGAACCTAAACCTGAACCTGAACTTAAACCTAAACCTGAACCTGAACCTGAATCTGAACCTGAACCTGAACGTGAAACTATACCTAACCTGAACCTGAACCTGCGCCTAGGTTCTAAACCTGAACCTAAACTTGAACATAAACTTAAACTTAAACCTTAACCTGAACCTGAAAATGAACCTAAACCTGAACCTGAAAATGAACCTAAACCTGACCATAAACCTGAACTTGAACATAAACTTAAACCTGAAAAAAAACCTAAACCTGAATCTGAACCTAACCCTGGTTCTGAATTATGGCCAAAACATAGAATTAAATAAAAAAAAAAAAACATGTTATAGCCTATAGCTAGGAAATTAGTTAATTAAAACTGCTTGATAATCGTCTCATAAATCATTTTCCGGGTCTTGGATTATAATTCCCTCAGTATTCTACTTGTATGGCATTTGAAAACAATTTTGTTCAATTCAAATTTATAATATTTTCAAATTTAAAATATTATTTTTATAAATTTTAAACTCGCGAAAGGGGTTTAAGCATAATTTTAAGATGGCAAATGAAACCTAAATCAGGTCAAAGCTGTGGAAGATATTGTCGTTTTTCTATGTTTAATAGTGTTTGATTCTGATAAATCCTTTATGTTTCCCTGTAGTAGAAATGCGCAAGTCACTTTCGTGGAGAAACCGAATTGGAAATAATAGGTTTTAATTTAAAATGAAAATTATTGATATCTAATTCATTTTGGAACAGAGATGAATACTTTAAAATGGTGGATATCGAGATTAATGCTTGATCCTCTCTTTTTCTTAATATCGAGATTAACCTAATCTTGTATTTGTATCCTGAAAAGTGTATAAAATTCAACCAATCAGAGTCGCGTATATGAAGCCGATACATTTAAAATTTTGCGCGCCCTTTAAGATTATATACAGAAATAGGAGGAACTTACTAATTTAGAAAAACCGCTTTATGATTTTTCTCTAACTGTATCCAAGAAATCAGATTAAGTAATCGGGATTAGGGATATCTCGTTCTAAAGTTTTCAGCTCTTAAAATACTTTTAAGAGTACCTTTACATTCTTTGCTCCCAGGGTGAATTAAAATTACGCTTACTGTCTTTTTAATAAATTAAAAATTACAAATTCGGGAAACATTTCAGAAGAAGACGACAATTCAGGTTTCGGAAAAAATGCTACAATATTTCACTAATGTGACAAACTAACTATTACTTTTTGCTGGACACAGACTTTAGGATAAAGAAATTTACATATTTATTTATACAGAAAATTATATAAATTCAAACACCGTTGAATTCTCATAGGACTGCAGTAGTAATAAACAGACTAGACATGCAACCTCTATCTACCTATCTTTCTATTTATCTATCTATATATATTTCTGTACATCTATCTATTTATATCTATATATCCATTTATCTATCTATCTATCTATAAAGACATGATTATTGTGAAATAAACAGCAAGTTGGTTTTAGCACGAACAATAGAGTTATAAGGAATAGATTTTTATCCATCCAATGATCATGAAACACAGCAGTTGTCCATATGTGTAAACGCACCTCTGCCCCTTTAGTAAAAGTAAATTTAACTTATATGAAGCATAAAGTCTGACCGCGTTAACCTTGTTGCACCCGCTAATCCTGTCCATAGAGCTAGGTACAGTACAAACTGGGACCGGAAAGGTTGACCCGGCTCGGAAATTCAAATGTACTACGGCTGCCTGTGACCTGTGTGTAAATAACCCCATTTTCACCATATCCTTTCCAAAATAAAGCACATAAGATTGTTCAAGGAGACTGAAGACGTTAGTAAAAGTTTATTTACAGAGAGCACAGCTAAACCCTAAATAAGCCATATACATCGAAAAACTTTATCAAATGTCGTATTCTTCACTTTCTGATAATGGAATGTTGCAGATATTTAGTTTTTTAATTAAATGATTATATGGAGCTCTTTAAAACTGTTCCCGCATATTTATGGCTATTTATCTATTTTCGCAAATACTGAGATTTACATTGAAGAGTATAAAACCCATTGAAAAATTGTCAAGACGACATTTAATAAATTCTTTCGATGTATGGCTCATTTAGGGTTTAACTGTGAATAACTCACCATAGTTTCAGTAGAAGTAAATATTTCCATTTACTGATTGCGCCGATTGAAGGATTCATAACTCTAATTGGATAATGAGAGAAATAGAAAGATAGATGTTACCGCCATACTATTTCTATTGGTTCAGAATAGACACCAAACACATGACTGAACCGTGATTGGATCAGGCGCTAATGGACTCAGCCTTCAGGAGTGAACTGTTACCTTTAAAGCTTTGTCCAAGTGCAAATAATAAAGTTAGCCCTATTTTCTTTCTGCAAATTGAGTTTTTTCGATTGCGGTTTTCTCTTTTAAACTGACTTGCCGGGTTCTTGCTATAGAATGCTGAGAATGAATACTTTTCAAGCTAGAAGAACAATGATATCTTCCACATGACACTACAACATCAGCCACTTTAAATGTCGCCTTCCTATACAACAGTTTTATTGGTCCAACTGCACCAGAATATGAAATATTATTTTTATTTGTAAACCCTGTAAAGAATCCCATCTCTCAATATCGTCAGCATCTTTCAGAAATGAATAGTCTTTGAACGGGATTAACATATTGTACAATCTGTAACCCTGAAATAAAAACATTTATTGCAAGTTATTCCCCGAAAAAAGAATAAATTTTTTGTCAATGTTAAAAATTTGATATTTTTTTGGTTTTGTTATTATTCATAGTCTATTAATGTTTTCATTGCTTTGAAGTTTTCCATAGTTTGATGTATTGTCAGTTTATAAGAGTTTAGAATACAAATTGTCCAAATTTTATCGAATTTATCAGTTTTATTTTTAGACTGAAAGCTAGAAATAATATATATATAATATAATAATGATATATCATAACGTACAGCTGAGCTGAAAACTCTATGAAGTTTGCTAAAAAGTTTGAAATATTAAGTTTGTTAAAGTTTGTTTTAAATTGATTTTTTTATTTACGGAACAGACTTCTCCCCCAATATATAAAGTATCTTTGCAACCTAATGGTTTGAACCTTTGATATTTTAAACTTCGGCTATTTGATTTGGCAAAATTCATAGCTGAACTTTCAGCGTGGACATCTGGTTGCAAAATAATACGGATTTAAAAAATTAGAGTTTGAATCAGTTTCTATTTTTACCGTTGTAAGTGTAAGAAGAGGGCCGAATATTAGAAGAATGGTCCAGACTACGCCATAGTTCTTCTTTCTACCGAGGTAACCAAATATATAAGGTTTTATATCACGTTTTTAATATTCTTTTATTTTTTACGTTTTTTCCTAATTTAGGCTGAACTCCTATTTGTTCAATTGAACCTTTTTTTTATTCTGGTTCTCAAAGCAGAACATTTTTTAAAACGAAAATCATTTAGAAAATTTTAACAATTTTTTTAAAACAATTTTTAAATTTTCTGGTTACAAATGTATATTTATAAACATTAGATAACATTTTATAAATTATTTGAAAACATAATAAATATTTTTACAATTAAAGCTTATATTGTCATGTCAAGGCTGCACTGCAGGTGGCTCAATATTTGAGCTGAGTATTAATTATTCATAATTATCAGTTTTTACTTGAATCCGGTCAAAACCGGATTTATTCCGTTTCCTTTATTTTGCTTTTATATATTTGTATATAATTGTTTTAGAATTTTTCTGGACGGGTTTTCTTTTATTTCTTTTTCACTTTTATTTGATAGTTCTAATCACGAAAATATCTGTTTTCCAACTATATTAAAACTTTCCAAAAACTTTCTGATCCCACGAAATTATATAAAGGGAAAGTTCTAGAAAAAAAACCTGAGGCATTAAAGGGATGAAATGTCGTCTTAAAATTTATTTTTTAAAAATCATGACAGATGCATATGCTTCATCATTGCAGTCTGCACACAAAAAGATTTCGCAGCTTCAAAGGATTGAACATGATTTATGAAAATATATCCAAATATCATTGTATGAGTCATAACTTTGATTCTTAAGAAACTGATTTTTTATTTAATTCAAGGTAAATTAATAGCCCTATAATAGTTAGGACAGCAATTGATATATTGAACTCGTTTTTCCGCGGCATTTGATCTTAATTATGTTGAGAATACGACATTATAAAATGTTCATCCTATGTATTCATAAATCTGGGATCCACTGTACGATTCACAACTGATAATATTAAAATCCTGGTTTCTGGTTACTAATTGAAAAGTGTTAAATTCTGTTAATATCCACTAATGTGTCTGTTAATAAATAACATGGATATATCTGTTTTATTCTTGATCCTACAACTTCTTAAAGGTTCATTGTTTTTCATGATTAGTGATTTTGAAATTAGAACTTTCAAAAAAAGCTATACTATTAATATTTTTTTTTTTTGTGGTTTAAATTAAAGAAAATCTTGTAATGTTTTACTTCCTTCGAAATAATAAGATTTAAATTTAAAGCTGTAATTTCCAGTAATATTTCATTTTTTGAAGAGCATTAGAGTGCAATTATATATTAGAGTGGAATTTACTAAAAAAAAGTGTTAAACGGCCATTTTGTTGTACTGTTTCCATACTGCAGGTGTACTTCACATATTTGTGCTATATAAACTTTTGGGCCCTGGAACAACATTTTATAGAAAATCTAAAATTAATATTAAAAGAAAACCAAATTATGAAATAGGCTGTTTTTATAATTGACCAATGATCATTTCACATAGACTCTATCCTTTCA